CGCAGCAGAGTTATAACACTACGTTAATCTATAAAATATAAATACATCCGGATTACAGTAATATTCAAAATAAGATTTCGAAGGAGCATTGTGCAGTGCACAAATCTTTTACTTTTAAATAAAAGATTAAATTTAAATTAGCTCTTGAAATATTAACAATAAATAACATAAAATAAAAAATGGGCAATTAAGAACCTTAACGCGGTAATTGGTGCGCAAATCATATACAATATATTTTGATTGTATCTACTGATCTACATAAAATAAAAAACTGAACGTTTCGGTTATATTCAAGCCATCTTCAGCAGTCATAGTTCCCCAATCATAGAAAAAATTGTTCACATTCAATGTTCGCAGTGTAATAACAATACGTGTGCAATAAGTAAGTCTCAACAGATTGTCCAGAGTGTAAATAACCATTAATTAGTTGAGTGCGCTTTTAAGAAATTATTTAATTTTATCTGTTTTGTGAGTTTAACTTATTATAATATTGTGCAGTTATGGGTTGCAGTAGATAAGTCTCTTTATAGTTTTTGTTATCTTTTTTTTTCCAGTAACATTCTTTTTAATGATTATGTTTGATTTAGCTTGCACTTAGCTAATCAACTAATTGACGGTTACTTACACTCCGGACATGGGAATCTGTTGAGATCTTATTTATTACACACGCTGCACTTATTGCTATTACACTGCGAACATTCGAATGTGAACAATTTTTTCTATGATTAGGGACTGCTGAAAATGGCTTGAATACAGTCGAAATGTTTAGTTTTTTATTTTATGTAATAGATCAGTAGACACAATCAAAATATTTGTATATGATTTGCGCACCAATTATCACGTATTAAGGCTCTTAATTACCCATTTTTTATTTTATGTTACTTTTATTTTTTATAATTTATAAACCAATTAATTTCTTAGCATAATCTTTTTTCTTTTTACAATTCAAAAAAGTATAAATTTCTACAAAATTCTACAAATAAAAATTCTTTTCTCCTCATATATAAAATATCAAAATAAATGACTCAAATAAATTATTTGCGCAAATAACAAATAATTGACAAATTCAACAGACAAGCAAAAAAGACAAATTTTTATTTAAAGTTAAAACTTCGCAAATTCGGTTGGACGCATTGAAGTGCGTATTAAAACCGTTGCACTGTTAATTTTAATCTGAGTATAAAAGTAAAATGTATAAATATTTCGAATTATAAAGTACATATTTTATTTTACAACACAATGAAGTATGTTGGGAACTTCACGGGTTAATCGCTTTTTGATATATTTATATTAAACGCACATCTTTACGTCAATTTGTGCGCGACAGTTTTAATGCGCATTGATAAGGGACTTATCACAATTGTCCGGAACAGAATCGATTCTTCTTTCTTGAAGTATATTATTAAACACAAAAATCTAGAGATATGTATTTTTTTATATCGATCCAATCTCAGATTTTCTGGATAGTTCCTTGTGACAAGTTCTTTATAAGTACATTGAATTCGTTATTACTATTGATATTACTTACTCTATGCTTGCTCCGCTGACGTCCGATGTCTCTTAAACCTCCTCCTCTCAGATTTATTCACCACACTTATTTTTTTCTGCTCTTCTCTTCTCTCTTCTCACATAACACTCACTCACGAAAACTTACGATTAATTACGATCACATACTGATTACAGTAATTATTCAAATATAACTTTAGGCGAAATATTTCTCATTCCTGATGTTATAACTGCATGCGACACACATTTAATTACTTTCCAATGCAAGACTAATCCAATCAGAACAGATTCGAATCTATATTAAATCCATGTACTTTACGTGAATAAAAATTCATTGAAATAATATCTACATAAATATAATGTGACATGAGTCGAGATGTCAACAAAATATTAAAATTTCAACTTGAATTGCAATGAATGAAGAAAATCAATATGAGTTTATTCACATGAATTTCATATTATTATCTTCTAGTTTTATCCTCGTTAAATTTTATCAGTAATTCTATGTGGATTATATGTATTAAAATCTAGGAAGTATCTATGCAGTATTCAAAAATATGTAACAGTATCTACATAGAATTCATATTAAAATTTTAAGGAAAATTTATTACAACGAAGTCGCAACGTTATGTTTATGAATATCACATCAATGAATTTTTGTCCACGTAATTCATAAAATACGTAAAACACTCGTTATTATCGAGAACGCGAGAAATGTACAATCGTGAAAATCTACGAGCCACTCGATAATCACGACTGTTTAGCAAATCATCAAAGAATGAATAAATATGTGGCTCTTTTATATAAAATATCAAGCTACTTTCAATAAAAGCGCGCCACGTAACCGTCAATTGTTACGAGATTTTCTATGAAATATTACTCGTGAAATTGCTGATATGAAACGTTATTTTCTACGTATTTTTCCTATTTAATTATGTGTAAACGATCAACATATCGCGAGCCCTCTATTGCTCGAATTACGTGGAAAGCGATTCACGTATTATTCCGCGCTCTCAATTCGTATACATCAAACAATTTTGCGAATTTTATTATTGTGATTTGATAAAACAAATTTTAATATTATGATTTGGAAGAATCTAAATCACAATAATATCAGTATCCAAATATCATTACAAAGAAAGAATCTTTGATTATGAATATCCGCGAAAGATCCAAACTAATGTACCTAATTATCGTCAAAAAAAACTAGATTCGCTCGCGAATAAGTATTACAAAGTAGTAATTTGAGATAACTTTCCACTTTTTATCACCTCGATTTCTGTCGAATAAATCGCGCAAAATATTAACACATTAATAACCAATCTCGACAAGCTTATGAATTGAGAATCGTGAGGGTCGAGAAGTCGTGCGAGAACAACTAATAATAATTCCGGAAGGGAATGAGATGTCTTCGGCGTCTTATCATTCTAAAGTTGGAAAGAGATGAAAAATAAGTTGTATCTCGATTAAAAAGTTGATCGCAAATTGTGAAACCCAGACTTAATTAAGAGCCTATTCTGTTATTCTTGACTGTAACTGTGTGTGTTGCGCATCTTTTTTACTATGTACGAAACCTCCGCGACGACATTGCATAACATTATTTGCGAAAAAAATTAAGTCAGGTTTTAATTTTTTTTTTCGATTTTAATATAAAGTCCACTGCACCACTTCTTAATTTTGCATCTACTTTAATCCCGTAAAAGGATTTTTTATTCCGTTCAATCCATTTGGAGATTTTTATACGACTGTAATATCGATAATTAGGTCACTTTAGCATCCTCTTAAGAGTTACAGAAGGCTCTTTAGTATTTGCCAGAATTATTTATTTCAACGAGCAGTGAAAGATACGCGGAGCTCATGCCGCTACTTATTCGGTCGAGTTTCTATGGTTGGCTGAATGATAGCGCGTCGACCTTGTATGATTATACGTAGCGCGGGGCGGGCACGTGTTATGGTTATGGCATTCCAGCCTTGTTTACGCATCGCTGTATGCCGTTAAGGGACAAACGTAATTGCTTTAATTTGAATATTTCCATAAAATATTCAATGTATCGAATTCTATAAAATATTCAGGGTATTATGGAATATTTCGTGTACGCGAAATATCCAGATTCTCACGTTTCAGACTAGACAAAAGAATTATTGTCGATTTGCTTTTTGTTTGTCACATATAATTTATATAATTTGATACGTTATTTTTATATAATATCGGTTATACGTAATATTATCCAGTCTTTTTTTTATTGAGAATTTATGGATGATTGATTAATTATGTCATATTTCAATAAATATTAAAATATTAAATCTTATTTGTTATTAAATTTATTTTTTGTTTTAATTAAATAAATATTTTACGTAAATGAATTTTTTTTGCTATTATTTCTCTTTTTAAATGCTTATGTTTCGAGAGGAAATCGATAGATTAAGAATTGTGATTTTAAATTTTAACAAACTAAATTAAAAGATTAAATTGCTCTGCGAAAATTGTGTGTAATTAAGCGTAACTGTTTAAATTTTCAATATATAGAAATTGTAAAAATTAAATCTTATTATTAGTACTTAATATTTATACAATATCTAAACATATAATATTTAAAAATATAAAAAATATAAATATAAATATAAAAAACCAAAAGACAAAAATCAGCGATAATAAAATTATTATTATCTGCATTATTGAAAATCAATAATGTGATCAACAATGCAATTGTCTTAACTCGAAACCTATTATGTACCTCGACATTTTGTCATTATAGAATTTAATTAATTTCTCAATAACTTTAATACTTTTCATTGAAATACTGTAAAATACAGTTATATAGTCGCGGTTATATTTCTTTCTACATCCCGTGCAGATATAAAACAACAGTAAACGAAAAATACGTACAGAGGCAGTAAATAGAAAGACAAATAATAGCTGACAGTGAACTAGTCGCTGACATAAATCGAGATTTAAACGCGATAAATTAATGTAGACAAGAATATGAGATGCAAATAAGCCATTACGAGCGATTATATACATACAAAAATTGTATGTGTTCATTACCGTGATGAGTCTGATCGAGCAAGAAAGCGTGAACAAACACGAATGAAAACAAGATTTAATGACCACCTGATAATACGATTTGTATTTATAAAAGCAAATTGTTCATTCATATTCGTTTTTGTTCGTTCACTTGATCTGAATTCGATTTAATTCCTAATAACTATATTTGTTACCCTATCCATATTTGTTATCGTAACTTCCGTAAAAATAAACATATTTCAATTAATTTTTTTTCAATGGATGGAGAATTGATTAAAAAATAAGTCCATGTGTAAAAGTTAATAAAATTAAAGAGCTCTGAGATACATAGGATTAAAGAAAAAGAAAAGTTTAAAAACACGAAAAATTATCTCCATTTAGCAAATTGCACTGGGGCTTCTGGGATCCCAATGACGTGTATAACTAGAGTTAAGAAGTGTATATATAAGTGTGTATTTATATTACTTACTTTCACGGGTATGCAGAATATAATTAACAGAAGATCAGCTGTAGCCAGACCGCCCAAGAAAACGTTCGTTGGTGTCGCCGGCAATGGCCTGAGTCGACAAAGAGTTGAAGCAATGATAATGACGTTACCTGAAAAAAATTACAATTCCTTGACCGTAAAGAACCAACGATATTGTTAGAGATTCCAAGAACTTCCGAAGGAGAAGACAGAATATTTTAAAATGAAATTAAAGAACTGAAGTTCTTAATAATTTTTCCTGGCTAATGTAAAATCAAGTAATATTGCGATTGCGTTCAATAATTTATATTTGTCGATACATTTAATATCGTAGATGAGCATTATTTTGTAATTATTTCTTGCGGATAATTACAAAGTCGTTTACGATGGTGATGTTGTGAAAGTTAATTACTACGGGAAATAATCGAGTTTAAATAAATTATTTTCCGGGATCGATTTTATGCGTATGTATAATTGTATAACAAGCTTTATCTTATATCGCATCGTCAAAAAAATATTTATATATATTTGCACCGAGTGTATTATTTAACGATCTATTTAGTGGAAAGAAATGTTGATGTTATGATTAATTGATTACGTTGAGACAAATTCATTGTCAAAATCTGTCTCTCTCTCTTCTTGTTTCTAAATTATAATAACATAATTACCGAAAATCGAAGCATGTCTGCCAATTGACCGCGTTTTATGAATTCCGGCTTCAAATCCCACACTTCAAATCCCGATTGTTGTTAACAATTATTAATAGCCATACGTCAAACGAAACAATTGCCGCGCTTTGGGAAAAATACAGGAAACTGTGTTCGGTCGTACGAATTGATGAAGAGTGATTCGAGATCCCTACAATCATTTGTATTCGAAATGACTCGTATTATACTAGTAACTTGTACGATAACACGACGCCATATAATTAAGAGCATATTAGGCTCTGCTGCACTTTGCAAAGAGACGTTTGCTGTGGTTTCCATGCGAGAAATAGGATTTGTCGTTAGCAAATATTCTATTCACTACACCGTGCCTAATTCGCCTGTTTAAGACGAATTACGAGTATTACTTCGCTTCTATTTACCATCCAATTAGCGATTTTGCGGAACTGGAATGTCTCACCAGCCACATGCGATGATTTTTTTTTCCTTTCGTAATATATTCCATGATGAAAAATAAGGCAACTATTCTGTAATTCTCACTGTAATTCTTCCGCCACACGAATGTGATTTAATGTAAAGCATAGCATGTTACGTTGTTTATATAGTAAATCACGAGCGGGAGAGTAAAATCTGTTCTCTAATTCTGTTTCTCTGTTGTTAATATAAGCTATGTCTTACGTTTCAACAATTATTTTCTTTTTAGACATGTCGCGTAATTAACGATTCTGCAAATATTTCTTTCACGATTCTTTTATTGATCAAAACGAAAAAAATTTATTGATTCAAACGCTCTCTTTTTAGAATAAAAACAATTTAATAAGGATGCCATAATAAATAAATTTAATAGCAATAATTGATTCATAATAATTAAAGTTTCAATATGTTTCAAAATTATTATTAAATTCACTAATTAATATTTTAACTCCAATTTTGACTCTAAAAGAATAAATTAATAATTGTAATACACACGTCATTGAAACGTATTTATAACAAATTTTTTAGTATTTCATTAACACGCAAAAAAAATATTTTGCTGCTCCAGCTAGAATTATTGCTGTTTTTTGTATCTGATAGAAAATTATGTATCATACACATAGAATTTATAACACAAATCTAAATTCTATCTTTGCCATCTATATGATTAGATGCAATGCATATCCAATATCGTAGAACTTGTTAGAAATTTGTCTATTTTATCTAATTTTTCATACTTAGAATTTTCATTATAACTAATCACTTTTTTGAGTAAAAACTTTTTTCAAAATTTTAATACTTAAATTAATTACGTTAAATTATTTAATTATCATAAAATTTCATTTGGATTCATTTATTATTAGTATCAATAGTTTGGAAATTATTTGATTTATTGAGATTCTGAAACTAATTACACCGGTAAAACTTTAGAGATAAATTAAATTAAATAAAATTGTTAGAAAGTATGTCAAAATAGTTTGTTAAAATAGAGATTTAAACGAAGCCGCAGTATGTTCGAATCTTTACTGTACAGTAGAAATTAATCTACGCTTTGAAAATAAACGGCTTTCGCTGTGTTAAAGTTATAGAATTCATAATACAGTACAATTCTGTGTACATACCACCCTAAATTACATTATATATCGAATAAACGCAACAAGAAGCTATATCATATTAATATTCATGTAACATTAATATTCATCAAGCAGTTAAATACTTCATAAAACATGGTTGAACTTACAATTACTTCGTATGATTAGTTATGTCGATTAATTTAGGAAAATAGTCACGTAAAATAGATTTTACAAAGACAAGTCAATAAATTAAACATAATTTTCTGATGTCAAATTAAAAATGATAAATAATTATGTAAAAATCTAATGTAAAAGAACAATAAGAATTAAGAGAAAAATTTAGAATATATCTATTTTAAGATTTTTTAAAATCATTATTTCTTTACAAGTAAAAACATTACTTCTTTAAAACAGAAAAATATATATCTATATACATCTGTATATTTCACACGCATATTGTCCAATTTATTTCAAACATTCTTGTCAACTTTTAATAATTTTAATGAATACTATAAACTTCGGTTACGATACATTGATCGATTCTGTGTAAAATGTGTTTTGATTAAAAATATGTTTGTATAAAATTGTTGTTGATTAAAAATATTTGTATAAACGTATCTATTTGATTTATTGACTTATGGTATACATATACAAAAGAAAATATTAAACTTACCGATTAATCCGAGAAAGAACGTCAAAGTGTAGACGACCAAAACAGGAGCCAATTCCGCCCATTCAAAGTGATTGAAGGAATCGTTGATATCGTAATCAGGAAAATCCGTCACGTTGGTGCTGTTCGATTGAACGTCGTCCACCAACTCGTCAATGGCCGACATCACAGTGAGATTATCGAGGACCATTTTTATCGAAATCATGTATCGTTACTTCTAAACATGTGTTATTGCCACGCGGCTTCATATCTTACTAGGATTGCCATCATTTTTAAAGACAATAGACACGATGTGTACGTAATTAAGAAAAAGAAGACGTGTAAAAGGATTTATTTTTATTTGACGTTTATCGTCGTTTTTTGCACATTTCTATGTAAATTTGGATTTGATGTTTTCGAAGGCTATTTAAACGTAGTTATATAACAGTTATACACGGAGATGTTAGACTCAACGAGAAATAGGACACATGGCAACCCTAAGTTTTACACACGACAAGCTTTCATGGAGCATTCTGCTAATTCCGGTACTGTCCAGGTGTGCACACAAATTGAGTTTCCTTGTTTTCATTCTAGCGCGATTCGTCGTCGCTGAAAAAAGCAAAAAAAAAACTATCAGCTCGCAATGAGTGCAATATTTTATTTAAATGAAATGAAATATGTTCGTATAAATTGTCATAAATTGATAAGCGTATTTTATCTATCAATATAATTCATCATAAAATAAAAATAATCCATTTTATTATTTGAAATATTTATTATAAACTCAGGAAATAAAGAATATTAAATCTATCAAAAAATAGACATGTGAAAAAATATTCTATATAATTATTGAAAAATTGAAAAAGGAATTAATTAGAGAATATTGAGAGAAATATATAAAAAGCAAAATTTCTTTTGTTTAATTTTCGAGAATAGGAAAATCTTAAGAGAATGAATTTGACGTAAATGTCTAATTGTATAATGCTATAATTGTTACAATTTAATGCAGGTCGCATTCATAAGTTCTAAAGGAAGCTTTGCGCCAGAGATACTTTATATTCTGAGAAGAAGGGCGCTATCCACAAAGATCAGCGGCAATTGTGTTCCCAGAAATTATTCGTTCTATCGACGCAGTGTTATCTATCACAAACGATCTCTTTAATGAAACATCAGCTTTAGCTTGACATATACGGGAACTAAAAGCCTAACAGCTCTACCTTAGAGTAGTTCTACAGTAAAATGTCGAAAATTTGTGGTTGTCTCATCAAGCCCACCCAAAATCACAAATATTTATATAATTTGGATAAAATATCAAAACTTATATGTATGTGTATATTTTAATATGAAATAGTATGAAATAGAAAATATTTTAATGTGCAAATTAATGAAAAAAAGAAGTTGATTTCTTGTACAATTTGTTCGTGTAAAAATTCGATATCTCATAATTTCAACATTAAATATCTTTCCAAAATGACCGATAATGTATTACTTTTTTGTACCATTACATCGTAATTTCTTTAACTATCATAATCTCGTTTTTTAGAGAATCTATGATAATATTTATATGCGATTAATTAAAGAAGACTTCTTTTAGACTTTTATCACTAAATTATATGTTAAAAGTTATTATATTTTCAATATTTTTTCTCTCTTATTTCATCGATAACCTATCCTTTGCACACGTCAAATTCGGTACAATTCGGTTCAATTTCATTATATTAAAAAATTAAAATTTCTATGATAACTCGATTTACTGTAGAACCACTTTAAATTGTAAACGTGTCGCGTTTCGCACGCAGGCGAACTAACAATCATTTTCCGATCAATAATCGACATATGTCATTCGTCATAATGCAGCGAGATGCAGCCACTAAAACGCGTCACATATGATTTATGCGCATAAATTTTCCGAGACAGAAACGCGTATCCACCACATTAACATCGAAAGTACACTTCGAGGAAAAGAAATTTATTCTGCAGACAGTGAAATAAATAAAATCGAAGTTGAGAGAACTAAAAACATTTAGATCTAATGTCACTAATGTCATTTATCTTGAAATCGCTATTAGCACTTAGTTTCGGTTTCCTTTTGGATCTTGAATTCAGTAAATGTAACAATCCAACAAACAATTTTCAATCTTACACTCATAGAATAATTCACATCGAAAGAAAGAGTTTTTAATTACAAATTATTTGAAGAAAATTTCAATAATTTCTCCAGCCATCGAAATTCCAAGCGTTTAATTAACTCTAATTGAGCTGTTTTATTTTATACCTTTTCTATATGATCTTTATATATTATAATTAAAAATAATTAAAAATTTAAAAGCAAAATTTCGTAAGTAAGATAGAAATCAAGCCTTCCCAGATAATATGCATGTCGCATAAGATATCTAAAAGACGGCTTTTAAACATAAAACACGTCTAAAAGACCTCTTTTAGAGATATCTTATACAAGATATACCATATATAAACTATATTATCTGAGCTATACTTTTAACATATAAAATACCGAAATTTTGCTTACTCTACTTACACGTATGTACATACGTGCACGCGCAAAACCTGAGGTAATAAGATTGATTACTGGAATAAGATTGATTACTAAAGTACTGTGAAATGACGCTTCAATAAATGCCTCTCGTATTTCATTTAACAGAGACCGCATCTCGAGTCGAATCCTTTAAATAGAATAGTTCGCATGCTTTAAATACAGCTTTGTAATAAACATTTACGTCAGGAAAACCACGCAATTTACGCAATTTTCTGACACAAATGTTTCCAATTCATTGCAGTTCGACATTGTGCATCGAGCCCCGCTTGTAGATCATTTATTCAAACGCGATCGAATCGTGTCGCGATCGCTGGATATTGAATGCTAATGCATTCCATGACGATGCGTCCATTTTTGAAATTGCATCATATTCGTTCATAATACTAAATAATATTTTATATCGCATATTATACGAATTTTTGCATTCGCATTCAATATTTTATACGTATAATA